ACAGGGGGGCAGCGTGATTTTTAAGGAAGGCAACTTGAGAATTGAACTATTAACAGTGCATTTTTTGCATTTCTTACGGTTCTAGGGGCCTCATCTACAGTATATAAATAGGTATTGTGACATATTTATGCATTTCAGTTCTCTGTTACATGTTTTCAAACTTTATTTGCTATTTTTTCCTATCACTTCATCTTTTTTTTTTTTTTTAACAATTTCTTACTGATTTCTTCCTCAGTACTTTGGCTGTGCTTCCGTTCTTTTATTTTTCTCTTTCATGGATGCCATGTTCTCTGGAAGCTTGTTTAGACCAAGTTCATGGCTGTGTAGGCTTCCTCCATGTGAACGGGAGTTCATTTTTTATTTTTTATTTTTTTAAAATATATTTTATTGATTTTTTACAGAGAGGAAGGGAAAGAGATAGAGAGTTAGAAACATCCATGAGAGAGAACCATCGATCAGCTGCCTCCTGCACACCCCCCACTGGGGATGTGCCCGCAACCCAGGTACATGCCCTTGACCGGAATCGAACCTGGGACCCTTCAGTCCGCAGGCCGACGCTCCATCCACTGAGCCAAACCGGTTTCGGCAGGAGTTCATTTTTTGAATAGTAAGAGTTATATGTTGCAGGGGAGGGGCATCAGGATTTAGGATGATGAGAGAGAATCATTGCTCGGCTGCCTCCTGCACGACCCCCACTGGGGATCGAGCCCACAACCTGGGCATGTGCCCTTGACCAGAATCAAACCTGGGACCCTTCAGTCCACAGGCTGACGCTCCACTGAGTAAAACCAGCCAGGGCTCTTCATTAATGTTTCCAGCTCTCCTCCCTTCCTCTCTGAAATTAATAAAATAAAAATTTTTTAAAAAGAAGCGACTGCCCTAACTGGTGTGGCTCAGTGGATAGAGCGTCGGCCTGCGGACTGAAGGGTCCCAGGTTTGATTCCGGTCAAGGGCGTGTACCTTGGTTGTGGGCACATCCCCAGTAGGGGGTGTACAGGTGTGCAGGAGGCAGCTGATCGATGCTTCTCTCTCATCCATGTGTCTCTCTATCCCTCTCTCTTCCTCTCTGTAAAGAATCAGTAAAATATATTTTTAAAAAAATCAATAAAATATATACGTTTTTAGAAAGCAATTGATGTATGCAATTAAGTGGAACAACAAATTGATGCTTCTTTCTCCCTTCCCCTCTTTCTCTAAAAATCGATCAGTAAAAGAGATGGTAAAGAGTTGGGGCCCCTCGGGGCCAGGGCTGCCTTAGCTGGAACTAAAACCTGGACAGGTCCCCCTGAGGCACAGGAGGGTGCAGAGAGGCCGCCCCGCAGAGACCTGGGGACGGGGCCAGCGAAAGGCTGCAGAAGGGGCAGGAGTCTGGCAAGCTCAAGACCAGCTGAGCGAGGGAAGGGGAGCCCTGCAGGCCGCTGTGGGCGGCTCCTGTGGATTGTAAGAGTGATGGGAGCCCCTGACGGGAAGACCCAGGCATTCGTGGAGCCGTTTTTCCAGGATCTTTGGCAAGCCCAGGCCGCTCTAGTCGTGGCACAGAGCAGCAACGGCTCTGAGCTGGAAACAGCCTCAAGAAGCTACTAACCGGCCCGGCCAGTGTGGGTCAGTGGTTGAGTGTCAGCCTGAACCAGGAGGTCACGGTTCGATTCCAGGTCAAGGCACAGGCCTGGGTTGGGGGCATCGATCCCCAGTGGGGGGCGTGCAGGAGGCAGCCGATCC